AAAATCGAATCGTCATTTTTGTCTTATTAAAAATAATAATGTTAGATCTAATTAATATAATATATAATTTTACTTTACGATAACATATTTTACTAGTTTATTTCAAAATAATAATAATATATTACGAATCAAATTGGCTATTTAATAAAATAATTTAAAAAAATTATCGACGAAACAAATTATTATTTTTTTTTTTTTGCATATGCATCTAAAAAAGTGATTTTCGGAATGAATTCATTCATGAATCTTATAAATCATTTAAAAACATTAGCTCTATTAACAATTCCGTACGGGATTGCAATAATAAACTTCTGGAATTGGTTGCATGCATAAAAGTGCCAGTCCATTTTTTCCTCCAAAAATAATTATCGCATAATTAGGGAGATCATCCATACTAATAATACTGTTTGAACAAATATTTAAACGTCAAGAAAGGTTTTTTGAATGTCAGACCTTATATATTTATTAATTTTATTTATTTTTTTTTAAAAAAAAAAGCATTCCTTTATGTTGTAACTTTGGTGGAAATCTGTTGTATGCATCAGTACCAATCTGAGCTGCACAAAATTTATTGTGTAGATTGGTTACTTCTCTTAATTTGGATGCTAGGTGAGATATGGGCAAGAATTTCAAATAACCGTCCAATGCTTTTAAAATCATGGAAGAAAAGAAATCACGGATTTCTTTATTCATTATACGATAATGGGAAGAATTGATATTTGATTTATCTATAATTTTAGAAGCAAATGTTGAAACAGAATCTTTTTTATCGTAAAAGCAAAGCGTGATTCGTTTCGAACAAATTATACTAAACAGAGTCGTGTTCGGAAGTCAAAGTAGAAAAAATTCTTACAGAATTTGCTAATTTAGTGCAATTTAATAAGTTCGCATAATAATTGGTATATTCTGTAGTGTTCATTCCTATTCTGGTATGTTCCGAATTGATTTTCATGAATTTTATTTTAAATATTTTTAACCAATCAAAAAAATTGAACATAAAATCCTTTGACATTTGTGGCTTTTGTAGAGGAGGTATACAACGTTTATAAAATATTTTCATGAAAACAAAGAAAACCAAAAGGGTCTGACTATAGGTATTCTGAAGTGATTAGCTCAAAACAAGTTGGTTTTTTTTTTGATTTTTTTTTTTCGGAAAATCACGTCGTCGTACATACATAATGATAAAGACCATACATCGGGCCAATAATGAACCTTAAAGATTTAATGCAGAAATTCGGGGGTTTCGATCATTATTTCCCTATATATACGTGATGAATTTTCATACATTTTTTTTTTTTTTAAAAAAAAATAATATCGTCATGCCAATTTTCTTAAAATCAAAGGTTTTATATTTTAGCTTACTTATATTATTAAGCTCGGTACTTCTGAATTATTATTCCTCAAATGTTGATTATGATTTAAATTATGATTATACGAATGATGGGAACTATTTACCAGCCCCGATTTTTGATCTTGTATTATGGATGAAGAAAAAATTTTTGTGAGTATCTTTCCGATAATAATTTAAAAAAAAAAATAAATAAAAATTTGTTTTCAAAGAAAATATTTAAATCACGTTAGGTTACTACCGAATTACTTGTTTTCACCACAACATTTGATGGCAGGCCATATTTACGATTATCTCGTACTCAACGCATTATTTGAACTAGCGGATTTAAGAATAGCTGATATTATTAAAAGAGAGGGAGGCAAAGTGTCTGTGAAAAGGTTGGCCGAATTAACTGACACA